AGTTCCTGAATGTGATTCTTTGCTTTGTTCAGAACCTGCCACTGAGGACAGAGACGGAGACGGACAATGCTGCAAGGACAGCCTTGCACTGCAGAGACTGGTTTTATGGACCAGGACCCCCCTCATTTCCTAAGGTGTGAGGCCACATTCCCTAAGGTGTCACGCCCTTAACCTTGGCAGTGGAAAGGATTTTCTAAAGCTTAGAAAGTGTGAAGTCTCCTAGGAATGGATTCTCAAGAAATACCAAAGTATTTGGAAACAAGCTGTGTTTAGCAGACTCCCAGTGGACAGAAAGGCAAATGGCTATGTTACCTCCTTGAAGGTGGAGTTGGGTTCCTGAGGGGCACAGATGAATGCCTGTCGACCCCAGGTTGCACGAAGGCGCAGGCTAGGCTTCTGCTCAGTTGTGACCACGTGCAACTGGCTGTTTAGTGTTAAATGCACAGGTTCACAATATTTATTTGCTAAATGCACACACTTCAGATGATCTAAAAACTTATCGAAAGTGTTCTGTAAGCTTGAACTCTGAATTTCCTCCCTTCCCCTTCTTAGCATCTTCCCTCCCTCCATTCTTCTCTACCTTCCTCTCATTTCCTTCTTTCTTTCCTTAAAGTCAAGATGGTAACTTCAAGATTACTTAAAAACAAGATACACTAAATGTTTGTTCGGCTGACACCTACATTTGTGAGGGGTCAGGGACATTCTTCAGGACCAAGGAAGTGTAAAGCTGTGTGCTGAGCCCCAGGGGTGAAGAGTGAACAAGACAGTCCCCACTTTAGGACAATGACATCCCAAAGGGAAGCAAGCATGGAAGCAGCTTGTGATTAACACCAGGTAGAATTAAGGAAGGGTTCACAAGGAGAAGGACTATTCTGACGGGAGAGATCAGAAGGACTTCGAAACAGGGCAGCTGAGCAGAGCAAGCCCAGGTTGGAAATGTGCAGACCAGGCAGGGCTCGCTGGGGGACTGCCAGGGAGTTGCAGGGTAGGGAACCAAAGAGGATGCCAAGGCAGCTAGGGAGCAAGAGCCTAGGTGTTGCCATTCTAGATTCTCAGGGGTTCTGAAATGCATAAAAAGGAGACTTCATCCCCTTCCCATTTGCAAAAGCTCTATCTCCTTGTTTCCTATAGGAAGAGGACCAAGAGATGGAGGGAGACAGGAGGGAGGGGAGGAGAAGGGAAAGTAAAAAGAATCAAGATGTGTTACATACATGTGCCACCTCCCTGCAATGAATGTGATCATTATGAACTGCATACATGTACTAACAATTTTTTTTATTTAAAAAAAGGAGTCTTGAGGGGGAAGCACAATGCTCTACTAACCCAAAGGCCAAGGGACAGGAACAACAGCATTGTGTGAATACAGCCAACTGCAAGATCAATAAGCATCCCTTTTAGACCAAGACCTACCCCTTGCTCTTGCACACCGGGGTGTTCTTGTCCTGCGACTCACAGTTATGCTGTCAGGGCAGGAAGGACTTGGAATGAGGGGCCATTGGTTGCCAGAGTCCTGGGCTTGTCCTTAGAGTGAGAAGATGATTCTCAACCTGCTGTGGCTTAAATGTTTGTGCGCTCTCGAATGACTGTGGTGACATCCAGCCTCCCATGGAGGGGATTGGGAGATGTGGCCTTTGGGGAGGTGATTAAGTCAAGAAGGCAGAGCCCTGGAAAATGGGATGAGTGCTTTGAGAAAAGAGACCCAAGGGAGCTTGTTCACACTTTCCGCATGTGAAGACCCAGCTAGAAGGCATCGTCTGGAAACCAGATAGCTATCTCTCACTGAACACTGAATCTTCACATGCCTGGATATCGGAGGGCCCAGCTCCCAGACTTGTAAGCAATGAATTTCTGTTGTTCATGCATTGCCCAGTCTGAGGCACTTTGCTACCTTAGTCCAGGTAAGTTGCCTATGCTGGCTCAGTAGGACATTTCTGGCCCAACTCACACTCGGAGTCCAGCAAATCCAGAGAAGCCAGGGGCTTCACTGAAATTCTGCTTCTAGGATGTCTTTGGCAAGCTAACATCTTAGGACCTTTGTTCTGAGTTGAATTTTGTCCTCCCAAAAGGAATGTTGAAGTCCTAACCCCTAGAACTTGTGAATATGACCTGATTTGGAAATAGAATCTTTATAGAGGTAATCAAGTTAAAATGATATCCTTAGGTCGGGCCCCAGCTCAGTATGATTGATGCCCTTAGAAAAAGGAGAAATGTGAGAAAAAAAAGAGAGAAAGGAGAAATGTGGACATAGACAGACACACAATGGATAACTGAAGATAACTAGGGAGAACATATCCATGTGGCTGGGGCGATCCATCTACGAGCAAGGAAATGCCAAGGATTGTCAGCAAACGCCAGAGGTTAGTAGAGGCAAAAAAGGTTCTTCCCTAGGGGCAAGGGAAGGAGCAGGGCCTGGTGAGTACGTTGACCTTAGACTTCCAGAATCATCAGTCAGTGCATTTCTGTTGTTTTCAATCACCCACTTTTATTATGGCAGTCCTAGAGAACTCACAAGACCTTGTTCTCTGTAGAACCTTGTTTCTTCAAGAAAAATCCTGGGTTGTCCCTCAAAAAGAAGGCAGACTACAGAGAATAGCTGGGTTCTAGGCCCTGCCAATGAAAGCAAGTAATTTAACTTTCAGGAGCCTCAGTTTCCTAATCTGCAAGGTTAAAATGATACGAACAGAGTTGTGGGAAATAAATGAGGTGATATACTGGAAATAATGATACTAACACTGTAAGACTCTAATGACAATGCTGTCTTTTCACTTGAGGATCTTGTTAAATAGTTTCACAGGCCTGTGAGGGGCCATGACTATCTTTCCTTCAGTAATTTTTTTTTTTTTTTT